AGAGAGAGAGAGAGAGAGAGAGAGAAAGAGAGAGAGAGAGAAAGAGAGAAAGAGAGAGAGAGAGAGAGAGAGAGAAACTGAAAAAGATCCCCCCCCTAAAAAAAACCCAACAACCAACAACAAACAAACAAATTAATTAATTAATTAAAAGAACAAAAACTAGAGGTCCGATAGCCAAGTTAGTGGGAGCCTTGAAACCTTCTCTAACAACCGAAGATTAATTAAAAATTCCCCTATGGGGATTTGAACCAGTATCATTCGAAAGATAGGCCAGTATGAAACCAGTTGAAGTAAAAGCATTCCACGTCACACTACGCCCTGTCTTCTTTAACCAGTATTACAAAATTTGTTAGAGTTTGTTCTGTTTGTTTTGGGGGGGATTTTTTTGAGTAGAGAGAAACCGACACAATAATCGTCATTTAGAGCTGGGGAAAAGTTAAAAAGACACACAAAAAACAACATGTATTATAAATTGAAATACGTCAAGCGAATATCATTAGTAAAAAAAATATTTCACAACAAACAACGAACACAATTATTTCTTTGTGGTGCTCATACAAAAAAAAAATGCTTTTAGAGTCTAATGTAAAGCTTTTCATAAACATTAAAGAGTGTCTTATGTCCGAGCGCCAAAGGGTAGACAAAGATGGGCTAATCCTGCTGTACATGTTATCTTTGATGTGATCTAGTTCTTAATAATCGAATAAGGCAGGGTTTTTTTAAAATATGATTTTCTTTCGTTTTGTTATGTGTGTATTCGTTTGTTTGTTTCTTGGGGGGGGGGGGTCCCTTTATTTTGTTGGGGGTATTTTGTTTGCCCTAGTTTTGTTTTTGTTTTTAGAAAAGAGAAACATCAACACGATAATGGTAATTAAATGCAGTAGAGAGGAAGGCAGACATTAAACACAGAAGGGTGTTTAAAGGAGTAAAACAGATGGGGAAAAAACAAAAGAAGGAGCTGTTTCCATTCTAAAATCTACGATTTGTTTTTTAAGTATTTTTAAGGTGATGTGTGTGTGTGGGGGGGGGGGGTTGATTGTTTCGCCACCGCACCCCTCCCCCCTCCCCAACACATTTTCGATCTTTTAGGGCAGGGGCGAACTACCTTGATCCTGCCAGTCAACGCCATCACACGCTTGAGTGAGATACACGGTTTTTGCGAGTCACAGAAGGAGTCGTAACCATAACACCAAACATACCGGTACACAGGGAATTCAATCACGACGGACAAGTGCAATCTTACAAAACTTTTTATTATTTTTTTTGTAACCCGACTTTATTCATTCCTTATCTGCATCTTGAAAATGTTTCTAAATCTAGTGTTACATTTTAATGTCCCTTTTTCTTTTGTTCGTTCACTTCTGCAAGTAAAACAAAACCTTGAGAAAAACCCCAACAAAACAACAAATACATCCTTACGGGTTGATAATGGAAACGTTCTAGTTAGCCAACGAGGCATTCACTTATACTTACACAGCAAAAGACGATGCGAAACAGAGGCGGATAAAAAAAGATAGTGTCTGCAATATAACAGACACGTATTAACATTGTTTTTATTATTATCACTATCGTTTTTAACATTGTGACATTTATTCTCGTTTCCTGGAGTTTTCTTTTAAGCAGGATGCTTTTGGCAAAGGATCCGTTTGGTTTGTAAAAAGAGAAAACATCAACACGGTTTTATGGTAATTCTATACAAGGAAAATACAAGACAGGCCCAACGCAGACTATGTAACTTTCCACTTGTCGCACACCTGCAAGTATGCCAATGAGCCCATTTTCGCCTGTTTGTCTTTCTTCTTTCTTATGTTTTATCTTTCTTATGTTTTGTTTTGTTTTGTTTTGTTTCAGTAAGAGTTTTACGGCACTTGCTACACAGTTGGGCAACATAAGTGCCGAAGATAAGAGGTGTTACAAGAGAGTGACACGCACAAATAGAAGGAGGTCAGAATAGACATGGGCAATAGTTGTTTTGTAGGATAGATGGAGAAAACCACACCAGAGCCCCGACCAAACTAACTGCCGTCTTTCTCCATTGCCGGTGACGTTATACTTCGAAGTCATACGACGAGTGGATATTTTGTCATAGTGAGTGCGGGGCATTACTTAGTTAAAAACGAAAAACAAGGAACGAACGAAACACGACAAGTGAGAACAGCACACCAACCGCCCTATGGGGACAGCGGATATGAGGCTAAATAAACAAATACATAATAAATAGATAGATCGATAAATAAATAAATAAATAAATAAATAAATAAATAAATAAATAAATAAACCCAAGGCAATAGTGCAGCAGTCCTGTCCATTTTTGGGACTTTCAACAATAAGTTCCTCAAAAGAACAATGGCAACCTCTTTAATACAATTTTTGAAACACTATAAGAAAAATATTACCCAAAAAGGTACAGAGAAAACAACAGGAGAGACAAGAAACTTTCCTTTAACAATTTTTTTTTAATGTTCATGAAGGCAAGGCGGTTTCCAGGCAAGGGTTATCTTTTCTTTCTTTGAGAAAAGACAAGCACATCGACATAATAATGGTGATTTAGTTCTGGAAAAAAGTAAGACAAACTGACAGACAGAAACAACAGAGGGAAAGTAAAGAAGTAGGACCTACCAGAGACGCCTCCAACCACCAGCGCAAGGGCTATCACCAAAAAAGTCAAAAGAATATAATTTTGGAAAGGAACACACTCCTCCCACTCTTCCACTCCTTCATAAATTGTGCAGAAGATGGAATTATCGCAGTTACCTTTATATTTTATATTTCACAGAAAGCTTATGTTTTTTTAATGTAGGTCTTTTAAACCCCTTCACGCCGCGAAAAAAAGAAACAAAATCGAAACAAAATCGAAACAAAATCGAAACAAAATCGGAAAAAATCGAGAAAAAAAATCGAAATTATTTAGATCATTTAGGAGGTGGGCTTCAATCCTGACTGTCGTGGTAAACCCTGTCTTGGAGGGTATACAACGTCACAGCACAAAGACCCGAGATCTAACATCTCCACAATAGAGCTTTTTTTGTAGGAAACTGTTCACAACTAAGTGAGTACGCATTAAATTAAGTTGGTCTGTAGGTTTATGTTGGGATAATTAATGCAATGGTGATTTGTTGTACAAGGGAGGAGAGTTCAGTCTCATAGGTACTAGACGCTCTCTTGGGTAAGTATGATAGTATTGGTTTAACCCCCGGCCTGAACAAAGATTTAACGTCGATCTCCGATTTCGTCGAGCCAAGTATGTCTTAAAGAACTGCCAAAACAACCCAAGAAATCTTCAGTGGGGATGCGAACTAAGGTCAACCGCACCATTGCCCACCATGATACAAGCTCTTGGTAACAGTTAATTTGGGGATATGGAGAAGGGGGAGAAGATGGATAAGATAAACATGATGATGACCACAACGACAAAAAAACCACCAACATTTCTAAATCTGAACCAAGCGTGGTACAGGGTGCCCATTACGGATGGGATCGGCGGGTCGGGCCGACCACCCAACTCGGTCGCCTAAAATACAAACTTAATTATTTTCAGTTTCAGGCGACCGAGTCAGGTTATCGGCCTCATCCAGCCGTAGTGGGCACTCCGTATAGACGAGTGCTCTTGAAGGTGTAGTCTGCTCTTTCTTTCCTGTCAAACATCTATTGTTCTTATCTCTCCTCCTTCGTTTTTGTGTTTGTTACTCTCTTGTAACACATCTAATCTTCGACACTTATATGACCTTATTGTGTTGCAAGTGCCCTAAAATTCTTTCTAAAACTAAAGAAGCACTAAACTTACCAAAAAAGGCAAACAAGGCTGTCAGATTCCTGCTATTTTCCTGCCCTGAGAACCGTGTCTTGGATTCACCGAAAAGTTCGTTGCTGATTCGTCGAGCATTTGGACGATTCCATCCAGAGGGGCGGAAGGTCTCGTCCTGATAATGAGGGGTGATGTTTCTCTCGAGGGGTCGCCCTAGAACAGAAATTTCCAGTCATCAAAGTACAGGTTTATAGATAAACCTCTAATATTTATAAACTAAAAAAATTAAAAATGACGCTCCAGTGAACAAAAATGTAAACCTATCAATCAAGAAAGTGAGTAATCACTGTAATGATGAATTCTTCATAAGTATATTATATTAATGAGGTAGCAAATGCAAAGGGTATGTCCTTGGTGGAAAAATGTATTTATTCATTTTTCTATAAATCATTTTAAAACACCCCGTCAATTGTTTATTTGAGTAAAGAGATGCACATCGACACAATAATGGTCATTTAGTGCTGGGAAAAAGTAAGACAAACCAACAAAAACAACAGAGGGAAAGTAAAGAAGTAGGACCTACCAGTGGTGCCCTCCAACCACTCATAACCCCCACAAAAATCCAACAAATTCAGACAGATAATGTTCAGATGAACCAGAAGACAAATGCATGTAAGGAAATTTTATCTTTATATCTACCTATAGATATAAAACGTATAGACAAGTACACAAGTAACACAAAACGTATGTCTATTAATCAACTCATTCAAGTACAGAGTGTGAACCAGCGACAATATTGTTGGAGAAAGGGGCGCTGGGGGAGGGGAAGGAGAGAAAGAGAGAGAGAGAAAGAGAGAGAGAGAGAGAGAGAGAGAGAGAGAGAGTCCTCGCACTTTAACTAAACATAATAGGATATTCAACAGTGTAACTGGACCTATAAATCGTTCTTGGAGATAAACCAAGCGATGACGACACTCGTAGCGAGTTTGGCGGTACATTAAGTGCCGAAATATAGCCCGCAGTAGGCAGTCTAAAAATAAATGCGATAGATCTAGACCGTGCGCGATTCTTTGCCCGGAGCAATCCAGCGGAGTGCTCAAGTGAATTGTGATTGGTTCATTGTCTGTCTTACCACTATTATAAGTGACTCTGTGACCGTGAACCTGAGGGAGATGAATGTGACCGTCATGTGATTTGTGCCTTTGAATAGTTTTGTAGTGGAGTAGTGAAAGTTATTACTCGAACTTGAGTGTTCGGTTCCAATACAGGATGAAAAAGATTGATGTTTAGCTAACAAACAAATTTAGTACTAGAAATCAAAGCGACAGCTAAAAAGACTGAAAATAAAAGCACGAAGTCCTCCCTCACCAACCCAAAGATCTTAAAATTATACACCGTCTCATTTACCATGCCCTTGACTATCTTCAGCATGCGATAGCTTTATTGTGCACGTCCACTTTTTAGCCCCCCGAGCCGCCCCATGATGCTGGGCCTCAAGTTCAAGTTCTTTCAAGGCACTGCTATAAATTGTGTCCTTTCATCTTTCCATTTGACCCGAAGCAGTTTTCAATAAATTAAGATTTTTGCTCTTTGATTTATGTTGTTGTCTTCCTTTCTTAATGCCCAAGTCTCACTTTTGTACAGAACTGCTGGTCATTTCAGACTTCAAAATTCTAACTTTGAGTGTCTTGGAGTTCTTAATGCACTGTGCATATTTACAGTGGAAGCAAACCCAACATCTTGAATAATTGTACATAACCTTGCTCTTAATTCCGTGCCGAACGTTAAAGAGTAATGTCCAACTACTTTTGGCGATCTCCACTAGTCTTGAGCCTCACACTATGGGTTGACTTTTCAGTCGTGTATTAAGAGAGATCACAATAGCACCATGAAAAAATGAAATGGGTTTTGACGGAAGCATCATGATTTTGTCCGTCTATCAGTCTTGCAGCTTAAGTGAGAGATGGGAAACTTAATGATTAAGGTCGTGTCCAATGAAAATACAGGGGATGTTGTTTTTTTTATGAACTGATTTTATGACGCATTGCTTCAGTTCTCCGGCAGTGTTGTCGAATGAGTCATTAATGGCCATTTGAAAGAGCAGTTATCTAAAGTTTGAATTTAAAAGAATGAACCGCTTTTATGACGCATTGCTTCAATTCTCAAGTATCGTTATGGAATGGGTCTATGTCCTTTTGAAAGAGGAGTTATTTAACTTTTGAAAAACTGTGCCCCAGGCCCCAGCGATGGATTGGTCGGAAAGGGGCTAAAGACCTTGCTCTCTGTCCTTGGCCTTCCAGATCCAAATATATCACCGTGAAATTTTTTTCCTTGTGGGGATATGTAAAGGACTGCGTTTGTATTCCACCACTACCCACTAACCCCGATGACTTCAAAGTTCGAAGAACAAAAGCGATCAACGCAGTGGAACGTGATGCTGAAATGCGTCTGGGATGGATTTTCTCATCGTATTGATATTGCCCGTGCTGGTGGTGGTGGTGGCCACATTGAAAGTGTATGTAATACAGGGAATAAAGATTGATTGGGGGTAGGCCTACAATACTTGTGACCAGGGCTGCGTTAACTAAGTGCGGGACCCTAGGCTGTCCTTGGGACGCGGGGCCCCTCGATGACGTTGATG